TGATTTTTGATCCTTACAAACCTTAGGTGGAAAAATATCGTTTACTCTTAATATGAGTCTTTAATTTAAATTGGTTATAATTTATTAATTATTTTATATTAAATTATACCTTAGAGTGACATCTCCGAATCCAATATAATATTATATATTATTTTTAATTTGGTCAATAATTATTTATATAGATTAACCAAAAATAAATAATAATTTAAATGTCTAATAAATTAATATAAATAGTATTTTTTCTTTTTTTGAAAGATCTTATGCTAAAACATTCAGAAATCATAATGACCTAATTGTACAAGCATTTAATGATGGCCCATGGTCCAGTGTAGAAACGGCAGTTGCTCTGGATAGTGGAATTTGCTTGTCTTTTCGAATCAAATTTTACGTTTCCAAGCAAATGAAATGAGCTTAAACCACACGATTAATGTTACACTTACCTTACTTTTTTATATAATTTTCATTACATTATAATGTGATATATATCACAATCATACAAATTTTTAATCATATTTAATTTTTAATATTATAATAGAATTTGTGTGATTGTAACATATGTCACATTATAAAATTTACAAGATGATATAAAAAAATGATGTAACTATAGCATTACTCTAAACCACACTAGGACGCCTCTTTCTTCTTCTTCTCCTTCTCTTTCTTCATTTTCTCTTTTTTCATTCTTGTTTGTTTCATCAGTAAGTGGAAAATGAATGCAAAGTAGAGTGAGTGGAAACGAAGGCAAAGTATAACGTTGCCATGGATGAAGAATACACAAAAAGGCTCTTTCTCTGTCTCACTTCCTTAAAAAAATACAACCACAAAAACATGAACTTTCATGTAAAAAAGACGAAAATGGTGGTCATGTTTTACTTGAGGGGGAATAGAAATGACAAGTTTAAAAGATGCATCAACTCTCATTATTCCAATGACATTGATGACATCTTTTAAACTTTCTATTTCTATTCCTCTTTTCTGATGATAAAACATGGCCACCATTTTCGTTTCTTTATATAAAAGTTTATGCTTTTGTGTTTTAATGTTGTATATTTTAAGGAAGTGAGACTAACAGAGGATCTTTTCGTGTATTCTCCATCCATGGCAACGCTGTCCTTTGGAAAGTGTTTTCAGTTGTGCATGAGCAGAGGGAGGGTGTAGGGCTTGTTGTTTCTAGTTTGTTGCATGGTGCATTTGGCAGAGATGTTTCTGGAGGAATGGATCTTGTTTCAGTCTTTTTTTTTTCTGCTGGTGTGTGGGTTGGTTTTTGTTTTCTTTGGGTTGTGGGGATTGCGGCTGGTGGGTTAGCTGGTCAGGGGAGTTCTTTTTTGTGGTTTGGGCTGTAGATTTGTAGCTTTTTGCCACGTTTTGCAAGTGATGTTCCTCTGGGTTGTTGCAGCCCCTTGTTGTTGGCATGCTGCTACTCTCTGTTTGGGTTTGCTGCTGGCTGGGGGTGTGTGTTGGTTGTTGTACCTGGGTCCTTGCAGTTTGAGGGGGTTTAGTCAGAAGGTTTGGTTGAGTTTGGGGGGCTGGGGGTTGAGTTCCCGGGGGCTGCTAGAAACTTGCAGTTTCTGCAGATTTTTGAGTAGTTGCTGGTTGTCTCCCTATGTTGATTATGTCTATGCTGCTGTTGTTGTCCTTGGTTATGGGTGGCAGATGCTGCTGTGGTGGTTTTTCTTTTTTTGTTTTTTGGGTTTGGGGTCTTGAGTTGTGGCTACTGCAAACCCATCACTTAGGGTTGTTGTGTGTGGTTTGTGTGGCTGGTGAGAGTGGGGTGTTGTTGGTGCTGGGGTGGGTGGCTTTGTGGGAAGAGGTGAGGGCTTCATTTGTTGTTGGGTGTGTAAAAGGTATACATTGTGGCTCACTTGCTTTATTTGATTAGACGGCGTCCTTGCTTGGTTAGGGTCTTTTCTTGGTCCGACTCTTTATTTTTTATTTAATTACCAGTTACCTAAAGAGGAAGAGTTTTTATTTAATTACCAGTTACTAAAAAAGAAGAGGCGTTAGATAGTGGTTTAAATTAAATGTATCTCTTAAATACACATACGAAATATGTATAAATAAAATAATAATAATATGTTACTAAATATTATTATATTAATGTACATCATTATTCATTATTTATAAAAAAAGATTAAAAAAAAATTATATTTTTTTAAAGCAATCAAAGGGTGCGTTTATTTCCCTATTTTTCCCTTATCCTATTCCTATCATTTCTAAAATATACATTTTTTTCCTTATTATGAAAATACTATTATATTTTATTCAATTATTTTTAAACTCCTTAAGTTTGTTAATTCAATTAAACACAAAAAAGAAAAAAAAAAGTTTTGAAATTGACAAAAACAACCTCATTCACTCACATTTGCCAGATTCCAGTCACCACTGCCGAAAAGTGGTTGGAATCTGGTATAATGGCGCACTACCAGCTAGATCTGGCCGATAGTGCATCGATCTAGCATTTTCTGGCTAGATCCATTGTCGATCTGGTCGGAAAAGGCCAAATTTACAACCAAAGATCTGATCGTTAATGGCTAGATATTTGGTTGTAGCTAGTCATCAACGACAACCAAAGATATGGTTGTCATTGACTACAACGACAGCCAAACGACCATATATTTGGTCGTCATTGACCATCAACGACGACCATATATTTGGTCATCATTAACAACCAAATGCGGCCAGATCTGGTCGTCAATGGCTAGATCTAGCCATAGACTGGCCTTTTCCAGCCAAATCCAGTAGGTCGTGCGCCGATACAACGACTCTGGCCACCCTTTGGCAGTGGTGGTCAACTAACAATATTTAATAGGTGAGTGGAGGTGTTTTTATAATTTTCAATGTTTTTATTACAATGGTGCTTTTGTTAATTTTCAAATTCTACTTCGTTATTACCACCAAACTTTTACTTTTTCAAAAATATTATCCAAAATACTAAAACAAACGCACTCAAAGTTTTTTTATTTTGAGTGATCAGGTTGTTTAGGCCCACTTGTATACATCCCTACTAATCTTTTAGAGTCATGAAGTTAACGATCAAATATATTTTCTAATGGTCACTATTATTAACAATCGAAGGAAATCAAACTAAAGACCTCTTGAGTAATACAGCAAAAAATTTCTATCACTCAAGGGTGGATCCAACCCTGTTAAGGTAGGCCTACTCACAAAAAGTTGCTATTAATATATATACCCAAGTGCACCTTCATATTTAAAAAAAAAAAAAAAATGAAAACTATTATACATATAAGGTCCACAACAAACTTGTTATTACTATATACATTCTAAGCTCATATCATATTAAAAATTTAAAACTTTCTCCACTCTTTTTCTCCACGGCTTCACTTGTTTTTTATGATTTTATCTCTAAAATTTTTTACTCTCTCATTCTCTATCTTATGTTATTTGCTTTTAAAACTTTTGAAGACTGAAATTGTTAAAGCTTTCACTACTTAAGGTGTCACAATTAGTTTCGTTTTCTGTTTATCAGTTTAAGGTATGTGTATTGCTAATTTCAATTAAGTTTATTTTAGGGTTGAATATATATTTTTTTTTTATTTTGATGCTTTTTATTCTAATTTGAGGGAAAAAAACAAAGATCTTATGAGTTTATTTTGTGTTTTGTGTCTAAGAATGAACCTGCTTTCCTAAATTAAAATCTTAACTATATTTTAAAGGACATTATTATTTACCTCACCCACCATTTTCCTACATTTCAAACGTCACTGTTTAGCTGCTCAAAATTATTAAAGAAATTTGAGTTACTATCTATGTTTATACCAAGAAAATTCTTTTTTTTTTTTATTAATTCATATTAAAAGTCAATGCAACTAGAGCTGGGCATTTGGGATCGGGCCCAAAAGCCCAGCTTCAAAACTCGATCCTAGGACCGGTCCTTGAGAGGACTGGACCTAGGAGGCCTGGTCCCGTAAAGAGGAGGGCCTGGACCTTCCACTGGGCCCTCCTCCAAGGCCCGAGCATGGGACCAAAAAAATTTGTATTTTTTCAATATAGTCTCCTGTCAAATTACTAAAACCCCCGGTTACTTTTAAATAAATATAAATTATGAGGGCTAAAATGAAATTTTATAAAATTTATAAAAAAAAAAATCTTCTAGGTCTAAAAAATTTATAAATTTTACTCATAAAAAAATACTAAAAACCCCCTATAAAATTTCATTTTGCCCCCAAAATAAAAAAAAAATGAGGGGGGAAAAAATTATCCAAGCCCCATGGGACCAGTCCCTACCAGACCTTAGGCCTGGTCCGGGTCCTAATTTTTCTCATGGGCCTGGGACTGGTGACTAGTCCCATTTGAGACCGGTCTCTGCCCACCTCTAAATGCAACATTAACTTGATTTAAGTTTTGATTGACTTTAGCTTATGTTGTGTCTGATCAAAATCATAGGAATTTATATTATAATATTTAGAAGCCAAAAATAAAAAAATAAAAATTTTAAAAAGTTTTGCTCAAGGTTTACTCAACACATTTACTCAAAATTTTGATTCTCATATATTTATTTAAACAATAAAATATTGTGTTTTACATTCTTTTCTCTCAAGCTTTTGATATTGTATTATTTTTTTGGTTAAAGGTTTGATATTTTTTAAAGTTTTCACTAATTGTTTAACAAACAATGACGGTGCCGCAAAGACTCTCCCTCGACAAAAATTCTGGATCCACGACTGTTATCATCCCACCCGATCACCCTAAGCAAAGTATTGTTTTGCACTATTCTTGTAATGTAACCTATTAATCTCTAGGTACCACCATTCTTTTTGTTTATTAAGCTCAACGCCCGATAGTATATGCCACCGGTAGTACATGCCACATAAATTTCTATTATAATCAATTAATAATTAATGATAAATGATAACGCACTAGATAACTGTATCATTTTTTATCAATAGAATCTATGGTATTGTCCAAAGCCAGGATATCAATGATACAATTTTCAAACTTTCAGGGTTCAAAGAATGTAAGAATTATCGTTCGGTTGTAAATTGAAAACTTTAAGGGTAGTACGTGACATTCTCCCAAACTATGGCTACAAAACAAGATGTGACACTAAAACCCTAGCCTCCTTGGAAAAGCATTGCTGGTAAACAGTTGAGGCGATCAGCCGCAGCAGTAACAACAACAACCAGCAATGGTACGTTCATCCCCTTCGTTTCTAAACCCTAACGAATGAATGTTTTCGTTTATTTGGCTCATTTTTTTATAAATTTATTTTATTTGTTATTTTAAGGGCATCGATTTAGTTGCCGGTGGTAAGAGCAAGAAGTCCAAGAGAACGGCCCCTAAATCTGACGATGTATACCTCAAGCTCCTCGTCAAGGTTTCTCTCGACTTTGGTTTTGTGTTTTTACCTATAATTTATCTGTTCTGTGTATGATCATGTTAGGGATTTACTTTCTTGATATGTGGACAGCTGTATCGGTTTCTTGTGAGAAGGACTGATAGCAAGTTCAATGCGGTGATACTGAAGAGGCTCTTCATGAGCAAGGTCAACAAACCACCATTGTCCCTCTCACGTTTGATTCCATTCATGAGGGGAAAGGTAATTCTCTTTGTCTGTGTCTGTATTTTTCAATCACATTCAGAGAAAACCAAATGTGTTTACTTTATTTGTTTGTTTTCCGTAACTTATGATTGGAAATGAAACATTAAGGTATTCATCCAGTTGAAATTAGGATCTGCTAGGTTGGGTTTCTATTTCAAGACACTACTTAGTTGATCACAAATACAAATAGAGGAGAAAATAGTAATAGGTTGAATTTTAGCACCGAGAATTGGGTCCATCTGGTGTAGTTGACTCGTATAATCTGTTAGGCTTGTCAAGGTTCAATAGTTTGTTTGGCGGGAATGTAAAAGATGAAAAACTTGTAAATCAAATATTATCTATCTTTTATGAATCCTAGGTTTGCTTCTTGGGTCCCTTTCTATCATGTAATAGAAATTTCTATACAACCTGTTGGTGTTTTGATTGACTTTGTTCTTGGGTTAATTTCCAGGAGGATAAGATTGCAGTGGTTGTTGGGACAGTCACTGATGATATTCGTGTGTATGAAGTTCCTGCTCTAAAAGTTACTGCACTGAGGTTCACAGAGACAGCAAGGGCAAGGATTGAGAAAGCGGGTGGAGAATGCTTGACATTTGACCAGCTGGCACTTCGAGCTCCCCTTGGGCAGAATACAGTATGAATTCAATTGATTAATCCCTTCTTTTTTATTTAAAGTGTAATCATTTTTACTCCGTTCTATTTCAAATGTTGAGCTGAGTTTCTTCATGTATGTGAATGAATGATTTAATTGGCATAGGCCAGATGAATAACTTCTATTCAAATGAATGTTGAGCTCTACTGATGTTCTCTGAGTAAGAATAACATAACTCTTGATGAGAGTGCTATTTTGTTTTCCCCTTTAATCACAAAAAGGTGCAAAGAACTGAATTTGATGGAGCTTACAAGAATATATATAAAGTAAAGAAACAATATTGGTAGCATAAGGCCTAAGTGTGATTAAGCTTGCTTGTCGGTGTAGTAGAATTTGACTTGCCCATCTTCTTCAATTGCATGTGCTTTTATAGGGGTTTTTGGTCATGTGTGGTTAACTTATGTCTTAAGGTTAGGAGTCATGGGGTATAATCTTGATAATGGGAAATGTTGATGGATGTGCCGCATTTTTCTCTGTTAACCCCTTTTTTCATTTGGATTGGGCCCTTGGACCATCTTATTATTCGTATGGGCTGACTTCTTTTATTTTTGGGCTTGGCCTGCAGGCTTCTTTATTTGTCCCTTGATTTGTCCCTTGATTTGTCCTCCTAAGGCCTTTATTTTTTGTCCAACATAAGCCCCCCAAAATCCTTAATTAATATTTATATTAATTCATGCATTAATTAGGGATTTGAGGGGCTTATGTTAGGCCAAAAATAAAGGCCTTAAGAGGCCCAATTCAAGAGGCAAAACCATCCTAGGCCAAGCCCAAATAACAAGATATCAGCCTATAAAATTAAGGTAGTCCTAGAAAAGGACCAAGGGTCCAAACCCACATGGGTTACAAGTTGTAGCTCACTTTCCCAAGACGAAAGTGCACATTATATCAATATGCCCCATGATTCCTGAACCTAAGGTGCAAGCTAACTACCCATGATTAGGAACCCCTATATCACAAAAGGTACATAGAATTGAGTTTTGATGGAGCTTTACAAGTGAATGAGAAATAATAAGAATAAAGTGATAGCATAAAGGTTTAATATAGCTAATTCAACTTGTCCCTTCTTCGATTTGAGGTCCTTTTATAAGGGTTTTTGATAATGGTAGTTACTTGCCCCTCACTCTTAGGAATCATGCCTTAGCTTTAGGAATCATGGGTCACTTCCTTGATCATGGAAGTGGTCATTATTGCTTAGTGTTCAGAACCTAAATTATGTCTTTGATGTTTGTTATGTATTGTCTCCTATTGAGTTAGTATTGTTCAAATAACAAAATTTACATCTTGGAATCTTTAGTCATTCATTGACTGGCCAAGTTTTGAACCTTCAAAATTTAATAGGATCTGCAATTGTATATTAACGTACTAATGGAGTTTATGAATACTTAGTAATCATCATCACTTTTCACTGTGTAATTTTAATTGTTACTTCTCAATTGTAACATTATTATGCTCTGTGTTCTCACCATCTATTGAATTATTTTTTTTTATTTTTTTTTTTGTGCGTGTTATTTGGCTTTATTCTTTCCTTTCTAGAAGTGAAAGGAATTTTTTTTAATTTAAAAATTGCTTAAGCTGAGGAATCCTGATTTTATCTATGTGAATTTTACTGCTAAATTTAGGTTCTCCTGAGAGGGCCAAAGAATTCACGTGAGGCTGTGAAGCACTTCGGACCAGCTCCGGGTGTGCCACACAGCCACACAAAACCATATGTGCGATCCAAGGGAAGGAAATTTGAGAGAGCTAGAGGAAGGAGAAACAGCAGAGGCTTCAGGGTTTGAGTTGCACAACTCTTACAGAAATGATACAGACCAGCTTACCAAATCATGCAAATCTTGTACTTTCTTTTTTGACCTTATTTTTTTTTTTCACTTATGAGGAACAAAATAATTATCTTATATTAGCCTGTTTAAATTTGAATCTTTCGTTATTTTTATTTGGAAGATGACATCGCGTATTCTTGAAGGATTTGTTATGTAGTGATTATTGCGTTGAGTGGTTTTAAATTTTGCACGAGTTCCTGAAAGTTGCGGTGTGGGTGGTTGAATTGAATGTTTTTTATTTGATTCGCGGGCGGGGCACTGCGACTTTAGCTAATTAGTGTCACATTTGCGGTTGCCCAGAGATTGGGCTTTGATTTAATCGATTGAAATGGACTAATATATTGTCTTCATTTGATATTGAATAATGAAACTTTAGTTTTAGAGGGGACTTGTACGTATCAATAATATTAATTTTTGGCCAGTGGGCATGTTTCCTGCGATGGAAAACGGTTGATATTTCATATTTGTTTGTGTTCTAGCAATTAATGAATCGTTTTCTTAAGGTTTGGTTGATATTTAAACTATCGCCTTGAGTTTGTGATTCCTAGCTTTCTGAACAGTGATTATTGATACAAATCTTAAATCTTAATCGGGTTGATATCCTTCCTATCTGCTCCGTTTTAACCATAACCAGTCATGTTCTAAAGTCGAATAAATCAAGGGTCGTAAAGAAAAATAAGTTCCTTCAGAAAATATGGATGAACTTAAGATGCGACGTCTGACTTCATGAAGTGCTTTATGCTTCTTGTCATTGCTCATCCCCACATCAAATTTTAGTCAAGAATAAGAAAATAATTCATACAGAAACAAAAGATATAATTGAGACCCAAGTTTTTCATATTATTGTTGGTTTGATAGCGTAGTAGGTACATGCCTGACACCCCAAATTTACAAACATGATCAAATCTAAAACCAACCTCAGTCCACAAGGTGGCAGCTACCTCTATTCTTATTCATTGGTTATGAAATGAAACAGAACCAAATAGAACTGATGAAGGATGGAAAATCCTCCAACAAGATACAAGATAAGCAGACAAGGCCCCATCTCCAACCAGACCTACACGGATTCTTTCCACCAAACTAGAAATGAAAATAATAGATCAGACCTTCAAGGATGCGGCATGCTAAAATGGCAAATGCCATCAGAACTTTTTTATGAAGTCATAAATGTGTGCATTGACTTCCTCTGGCTTTTCTTGGCTGAGAAAGTGGGCTCCACCTTCCATTACAACTACTTCCTGAAGAAATGGTACATCTCTCTTGAAACCACCATTGTGTATATATTCCTTCACACCTGGAAACTGATACGTAAGGTCCAGGTCACCCACGATAAACTTAACCGGAACTTTGATTTGAGA